ACTCAACGCATTTGCCCATAAGGGGCATTTACGAGCACACCTGCCCACACCGTGCTGCGTGTTCAACTTTTGGCCAGAAGTGGCATGACTGCCGTGCCCCATCCTCTTTATTCACCTGATCTTGTCCCGACGGAGTTTTTTTTGTTTTCCGCCCCCCAGATGAGAAAAGTCCTCAAAAGGAAATGTTTTTCCCGTGTGAAAGAGGTGAAACCAAAAAACAGCAGAGGCACTCAAAGGCATCAAAATCAACAAGTTCAAAAACTGTTTTGAGCCGTGGAAAGAGCATCTCACTAGGTGTTGCATCCAATGGGGAGTACTTTGGAGGTGACCAGTTTAAACACATAAGAATAAATACACTTTTTTTATAAATAAATTCCAGGTTTTCTTGGGTCCCCACTCTTAAGGTCCAGAGTTCGCAAGGCCCTCCTAACCCAACCCCGTTCCATTCCTGCTTCTCCCCTTCACCACAGACCCTCTGTTGTCACTGGCTGCGTGTCGCCGTCTCATCCACCACATCTGTGTGTGTCCTTCTGACAGCTTGCGATCTCTGCCCACGTGTGAGAGACATTCTTGGCCCTGTCTTTCCAGAGCACTTTCTTCTGAACATGATGGTGCAGTGGTAATCAAGAGCTGTGGGTGAAAGCAGACTGTCTGGTCTTGTAGACTCGCCTACTTGATCACTGTGTGACCTCTCTGTACCTCAGTGTCCTTATTTATGCAACCGGGATGATAATAGTACCTTCATCATTGGGCTGTTGAAGATGGAGAGTTTATCCATACGCAGTGCTCATGGCAGTGCCTGGTGCGTCACAGGTGGGTAGGAGGCATTTGCTACTACCTCTGCTGGGACTGTGATGACAGTTCGAGGAACTCGATTTAAATACAAGAAGCAACCCAGAGATCCACTGCCAGACCCAAACCAAAGCATCTTACCTGCAGAAAGCCTGGGTCCAGTTTGTAGCCGGAAATACTTTAGCTCCCCTTGGCATTTGTGGTGTCTCCTAAGTTATCCACTGGTTGAAATTCCACCAGGGCTTGGGTGGGCGCATGGACATGTGCTTGTCCCCAGACTAGAAGTTTCTTCACTGTCAGCAAAGGCTGTCCTCCAGCTGCGGCTCTGGAAAGTCATCCTGTTGCTAGTCACCTGGTTGATAGGACAGGTCGTGCTACAGGCACACCTTGGGCTGATGTGACCCAGATTCCAGATGTAGGTAGGACCGTCAATGGTAGCAGCAGGAAGACCTGAGTCAGCTGAAAGCATCCTAAAGTAAATAGAAGCTCAGAGTCAGACGTCTGGTTCTCTGCTCCATCACACTGCGGGCAACATCATAAGAAATACGATCATTCAGGACTACAAAACACCACTCACAAAAGTCCAGGAAGACACAAACAAATGGAAAAATACTCATGCTCAAGGATAGAAAGAATCAACATCGTTAAGAGGCCCATCCTACCCATGGCAACCCACAGATTCAACGCAATACCCATTAAATTACCAACATCATTCTTGTCAGATCTGGAAGTGACAATGCAGAAATTCATATGGAAACATAAGCGACCACGAACAGCCAAAACAATCCTTAGCAAAAGAAACAAAGCAGGAGGTATCACACTGCCAGATTTCAAATTTTACTATAAGGCTACAGTAATCAAAACAGCCTGAAATCGGTACAAGAACTGGCATATAGACCAATGGAACAGGATTGAGATTCTGGAAGCAAAACCTCAATTTCTCAACCAACTCATCTTTGACAAAGCCTCCAACAACAACCCCTGGAGAGAGGAGAACCTATTCAGTAAATGGTGCTGGGAAAACTGGCTGATCACATGAAGAAAATGAAACAGTACCCTGATCTGTCAACATACACAAAAATTAACTCTAAATGGATCAAAGACCGAAACGTAAAGCCTCAAACTATAAGAACCTTGGAAACGGCAGGAGACACCTTATGGAAATTGGAACTGGCAACCAATTCCTGATCAAAACCCCAAGTGCCCAGGCCGTAAGAGGTAAGATAGACAAGTGGGACCTCATCAAACTGAAAAGCTTCTGCAAAGCAAAAGAAACCATAGAAAAAGTGGGAGATGGCCTATAGAATGGGAAAGAATATTTGCCAACCGTATATCTGACAAAGGCCTAACATCTAGGGTCTAAAAGGAACTCAAATGAACTGAAAGGAAAGAAACAAACAGCCCCATTCAAACGTGGGCAGAAGACATGAAGAGACACTTCTCCAAAGGAGATATCCGGCAGCCAACAGACACATGAAAAAGTGCTCAGCATGGTGCTCCACACATTGTAGACAATTCATTATGAGTGCAGGAGGCAGGCAGGAAAAGAGAAAAGGTGAAAGGAATAACAGGGCACAGCCCCCATGCTTCTTTCTGTAGGCGACAGACGCTGTTCCTACCGCATCTCCTATGAGTGTTCTAAGTCTTGTTCCCACCACACTGAATGGGCTTGAAGTCTCAGCCAGAGAACCACACTCATAACCCTCCTGTTGGGTAATTCCGCAAAAATTACATCGGTACAATCCATCCCTTTAGTTGTTTCCTATACATACGCTCTGGGAGCTAATTTGATAATTCAGTGTTGTTTTGTCTGTTGGAATCTGTTAGCAAATAAGTGTCTTACTTCTCAAAAGAAGATATATGGGCAGCCAACATACACATGAAAAAGTGCTCAGCCTCACTCATCATCAGAGAAATGCAAATCAAAACCACTCAGCCTGTAATCCCAGCGCTTTGGGAGGCTGAGGTGAGTGGATTGCCTGAGCCTGCGGGTTCGAGACCCGCCTGGCAACTTGGCGAGACCTCATCTCCACAATAAATCAAAAATTAGCCGGGTGTGGTAGCACGCACCTGTAGTTCCAGCTCCTTAGAAGGCTGAGGCGGAAGGATTGCTGGAGCCCAGCAGGTCGAGACTGCAGTGGCCGGGAGCAGCCACTGCACTCCAGTCTGAGTGACAGAGTGAGATTCCAACTCGAAAAAAAAAAAAGAAAGAAAGAAATACCACCTAACCCCAGTAAGAATGGCCATCGTTAATAAAACAAACAACAACAGATGCTGGCCAGTATGCGGAGAAAAAGGAATACTTCTATACTGCTGGTGAGAATGCAAATTAGTGCAACCTCTTTGGAAGACAGTGTGGTGATTTCTGAAAGAACTAGGAATTGACCTTCCATATGACCCAGCAATTCCCCTATTGGGAATATACCTGGAGGAACTCAAATCATTCTACAAAAAAGATACCTGCACATGCAGGTTTATTGCAGCTCTATTCACAATAGCAAAAACATGGAACCATGCTGCCCATCAAAACTGGACTGGATAAAAAAATGTGGGACATATACACAATGGAATATTATGTAGCCATAAGGAAAGACAAACATAAGGACTTAGCAGCAACTTGGATGGATTTAGAGTCTATCGTACTCAGTGATCTATGTCACTCATAAGCGAACCTTGAACAATTATCATAATACTATAAGAAAGGGATTGGCAGTAGTGGGAAACTGCCCGGGGAGAAGGGGGTGGGATTAGCAGTTGAGGGAAACTGCCAGGGGAGGGAGGGGCACACCTCATCAACAAGGACACCTGCTTAATGAACATTTGTGTACCTAACCCTGAACTGTACCCCACATCTTTAAAATTAAAAATTAAGAAAAAAAAGAAATAGGATCATTCAGCCCAAAGTCAGAATTTAGCAAAATGTTTACAGACACTTTAATTTCTATGAAACTGCCGCAGACCTATTTATTTGGATGTTATTTTTTATGTTGATGCCTGTGGTCCTGAAAAGTTAAATGTAAATTGCAGGATCTCTTAGCAAAGTTTACTATTTAAAGCAACTCTACAGTAAATCATTGTGAATTACTTCCTAGCTTATTAGCTTTTATTTATTAGAGTATGAATATGCTAGTTTCTTTGAAGTGGGACACATTTGTATTGGCTGTGGCACTTTCTAACTCATCAGAGAAATTTGTGGCTTAGAAAATTGCAGCTTTAATTAATTGTGGTAAATGAAAGTAAATTTTGGAATGTGCTATTTAATTTTTAGGGAAAAAAAGAAGCCTTAAAGTAAAAATCCAACTTGGGGAAACAGTCAGAAACAACCTGTCTGACGAGTAATATCTAAAGTTGATTTTCAGAATGAACCTGTGTATTTGTTGTTGTTTTATTTTAATCTTTATGTTTATTGCGTTTCTGGTTCTGATCTTTATAGTAAGAGATAATGTGTGGACTCCCAACCAGATGTCTTAGCTACACACACACAAACCTAAACATAAGCATGCAGGCACACTTGAAATTAAAGATACACATTCTATTGTAACTAATAGATCTAAAAAAGAAATAGGGAAAACTAATAATAATGGAATGACTTGGGTTTCTGTAGCACCTGAAGTTTGTAATGCACTTGCTTAATGTGATGTGTCAGAAAAACTTTGGGTTTTAGTCAGAAGAACTAAACTTTAACAGTTGCTTTCTCACTTCTTCTCTGTATGAGGTTGGGCAAATCCCTTGATTGCCCTGAGCTGTGGACTTCTCATCTGTGAAATGAATATAATAGAGAATTCCTTTGAGGATCAAAAAATGCCATATATGCAAAGCCTTTGGAAATTGTAAAGCACTGTGCGGATTCCAGAGACTACGGAAATGGAGATTTCAGAAACGACTCTGAAATCTCAGAGTGCATTTCAGAGATGAGAGAAGAATGACTTGTGCAGCCATCTTCGGTTTGTGCATGAGGCGACCATGGTGTCAAGCAAGCCACGCACAGCCGAGCCAGGGCCGGGCTTGAGCCCAGGTGCGGTCCTTTCCGCCCTAGACCACTGCTCTTTGAGGACAGGCCCTGTCTGTCATTCACAGGGCACAGCTGTCATACACTGCAGCCTCAACTGGTGTTAAAGAATTTACGAACATGCGATTCTTGAGTTATCTATCTTAGTAAGAAATGTGAATATTATCAGGTGACGTTTACGTTTGCTTTTTTACTGCAGGTAATGAGTTTGGACATCCCGAGTGGCTAGACTTCCCAAGGAAAGGAAACAATGAGAGTTATCATTACGCCAGAAGGCAGTTCCATCTAACGGATGACGACCTTCTTCGCTACAAGTTCCTAAATAACTTTGACAGGGATATGAATAGATTGGAAGAAAAATGTGGTTGGCTTTCAGCACCCCAGGTAAGCTCTCCTCTCTAAATGTCATGTTCAGTCACCAGCGCCGGGCATGCTCAGAATGCCAACGGCCTTGGATCTATGTGCAGGTCTTTTAAGCATCTCTTCACTATTCGGCATGTAGAGCCCTGTAACGTTCTTCACGTTGTCAAAACATGTCACCGAAGTCTCTCCAACAGATAATGAAAATCTCGAACATAATGCCCTGCTTACTCTCCTGGCTTGTTTGTTGTTATTGTGTAAATTTAGTAATTTTTTATTCTTGGTTAAAACACAAGACAGAAACTCTGCCTGGAACCCATTTTGGCAATTGCTGTGGAAACATCTTAATTGTTTTGACTGCTTTTTTTTTCTTTCGGTAAATAATTATTCTGTCATAAAGACACTACCTTGACAACATGTAGATTTCTTTCTTCCTTTATTTCTTTCCTTTACTGGTCTCTAACTTGTCATTTCAATAGATGCCATTATACCTGCATGCTGTTTTGTATTTTTCATGAGGCTGTCTCTCCTCTGGAATTAAAGTCTCAGTTTTCAATAAGTTTTAGAAAACGTAATTAACAGGTGCAGATTTTCTACAGGCATTTTTTTTTTCCTTGCAAAAATTAGCATATAGTATGTATTCATTATAATCCATTTACTTTATGCCGGGGCTGTTTGAAATGACTGTTGATGTGTTTTTACTTTGGTGTCTAGGATTCTTTTTATTTTAAAGGCTGAACAAAGGTATTTATGTATTCAGTAAGGTTGGCTACATGACACGAGTGCCCTAATCACGTTTATTAGCGATGCTGTTTCCAGAAGACGGTGCAAAAGGATGTCCCATCTTCAGTAGGAGCAATGCTGAATACCAAAAGGCGTGCTGTTTACGCTAGAGCTTCAGTTTGCTTTTCTAAGTTACCCGGCGTGGTGTTAGAGACATTGGCTGGCAGTTTTTCCTCTCAGAGTCGGAGCTGGGTGAGGCTCCTCACAGCAGACTGCAAATATAGGATGAGTAACAGAAGAGAGTGCTCAGGTGTAATTTATTTCCAGACCTCTTTTAATTAAGAAAAAAATAAACCCAACCTATTGTCATAGATACTGGGTTGTCATTGAATCTGACAGAGTTGCATAAAAACTTAAAAATGTTGAGATGACTATAATTTCAGAAACCAGAAGTAATAACAGCGTTACATTAAATTTTGGAAAGTAATTTTGTGTCCTTTACCTCATTCACCTAGAGGCTCACAAAAATTTTTAAGAAAATCACCTAGAAGTAGATCTAAAAACACACACACACACACACACACACACACACACCCCATGGAGAGTACTGCGCCATGCTTACGTGTACTTTAACCTGAGCCACAGCACTGATTCTCTATGTGGGCTTTGAGGGTGGCACGTGACTGGGGAGATTTTTTACTCTAAGCGATTTTCAGGACGATTGTCGACTCAAGAGTTTGATATGAAAACATGGTACAACATGCTTAGAAATATAATGTGGCTGTTTCACTGTTGGCTCGGTCACTAGCAAGACTGCTAAGAAAGAGGACAGCCCCTGTTTGGGGAACGGCAGACTTGCAGCAGCACCCGAGTGTCGCCAACGTGCCGTGTGTGTTCCCTCCGTAGGCCTACGTGAGTGAGAAGCATGAAGGCAACAAGGTCATCACCTTCGAGAGGGCGGGCCTGCTCTTCATCTTCAATTTCCACCCGAGCAAGAGCTATGCCGATTACAGAGTCGGGACGGCACTGCCCGGGAAATATCCTTTCTGTGGCCAGGGAATCTCACTGTCCACGTTCCGTCTTGTACCACATTGGAGTACAGCAGTCCCCCCACTTTTTGGCGTCAAGGACCGGTTTTGTGCAAGGCAGTTTTTCCAGGGGCTGGGGTGGAGGGGTGAGGCGGGAGGTTTCAGGATGGTTCTGAGGAGAGAGATTGGAGGTGCAGATGTGAACGGTGAGGAGTGACAGTATGCCTGGAAGATGGCTAGGGCATGGGCTGATGTAATGGAAGTCAAATCGTTTTTTCACCCTTCTTGTGGTGAAAAAACTCAGCATCTGTTTGGATGTGAAACATGGAAAGGAAGATGTTAGGATTCACTCTGAACAGTGGGGAGAATGCTGGTGGTATTATTTATTCCTGAGGATCGCCAAGCAAGGAGAAGTAACCAGTTGGGGGAATAGGAAAGGTGAGTTTAATTTAGGATTGTTGACAAGTGGAAGTGGATGGAATTTTCTTTTTTAAAAATGTTATATTCAGAGTGTATGCACAGGTTTGTTAGATGGGCCTATTGTGTGGCGTGAGGTTTGAGCTGCTTTTGAACCCATGACCGGTGCTCAAAAACAGTAGGTACTTTTTCAATCCCTGCCCCCTTTGGGAGTCTCCAGTGTCTGTTGTTCCCATCTTTATGCCCTTGTGTGCCCAGTGTTATCTCCCACTTATAAGTGACAACATGCAGTATTCGGTTTTCCGTTTCTGTCTTAATTCGATTAGAATAATGGCTTCCAGCTCCATCTATGTTACTACAAAGGGCATGATTGCATGCATTCTTTTTTGTGGCTGCATGGTATTCCGTAGTATCTATGCACCACACTTTCTTAACCCAATCTACCATTGATGAGCACCTAGGTTTGTTCCAGGTCTTTCCTATTGTGAATAGCATTGCAATGAACATACAAGCACAGGTGTCTTTTTGGTAGAATAGTTTATATGGGATTGCTGGTCTCGTGATGATTCTATTTTCGGTTCTTTGGGAAATCTCAAAAACTGCTTTTCATGGGGGCTGAACTAGTTTACATTCCCACCAGCAGTGGGTGAGCGTTCTCTTTCCTCCACATCCACACCAATATCCGTTGTTTCGTTTTTACTTTTTAGTAATAGTCATTCTGGCAGTTAGATGGCATCTCACTGTGGTTTGGATTTGCAAGAAATGCATAGAATCTTCAACAATGACATTTAGAAGAAAAACTCTTGAATCTTGCCTCAAGCTACTATGATCTATCTACAATCTATTAACTTTGGTCAACAAATATCATACGAAAACATATAGTAACTTGGCATATATGATTGAGTAGAAACCACCTAGAAGATAGGTTGTATTTACTGATACAGAATTACACTGTGTGTGAAAGCCTGGTTTGATTTTGATCAACATTGACACAAGTTGGGTCTTCTGAAATTTAGTGATCTGTTTAAATGTCTATGGATATTTGTTAGTTAGAAATTTTCTATTTAATACGTAAATACTAAGTGTTTTAGGTGAGTGACTTCTTTTAAAAGCTGTACTAATTATCATTTGCAATGATATAGACCCTGTTTTTTTGTTTTGTTTTGTTTTTTGAGCTGGAGTCTCACTCTATATCGCAGGCTGGAGTGCAGTGGCACGCTCATGACCACCACAGCCTCGACCTACTAGGCTCAGGCGATCCTTCCGTCTCAGCCTTCCAAGGAGCTGGAACCACAGGCACCCACTACCACGGCCAGCTAACTTTTTGACTTATTGTGGAGACAAGGTCTCGCCAAGTTGCCCGGGCTGGTCTCGATCCCCTGGGCTCAGGCAGTCCTCTCACCTCGGCCACCCGAAGTACTGAGATTATAGGCATGAGTCACCCCGCTCAGTCTGATACAGACACTTTGGAAAATTGAACCACCTCTTTATGGAAATAACAGTTGACACCTCAGTCACCTATTGGGTCTCCAGGAGAACCCTGGAGAAATGTTGACCCATTTCCTACAGGCTTGTGCCACTTGGACCTTACTTACTCTTACTACTATTTCACTCATGTCTTTCTGTCAGTAAGCCGTAACTAATCCATGGGTGTTATTACTTCCTCTGAGGGCATCTGCCTTTTTTTTTTTTTTTTTTTTTTGAGTTGGAGTCTCACTCTGTCACCCAGACTGGAGTGCAGTGGCCGCTCCTGGCCACCGCAGCCTCGACCTGCTGGGCTCCGGTGATCCTTCCGCCTCAGCCTTCCGAGTAGCCAGAATTACAGGCATGCGCCACCACGCCCAGCTAATATTTTGATTTATTGTAGAGATGAGGTCTCGCCTGCCCAGGCGGGTCTTGAACCCGCAGGCTCAGGCAATCCACTCACCTCAGCCTCCCAAAGGCGTGGGATTACGGGCTGAGCCACCGAGCCCAGCTAGCATCTGCCTTTTAATACATCTCTTTGAATACGTACAAGGTATTGAAGACATAATGGTCTACATATGTAACGGGAGAATTTTATTATAATGTGGATTTTCTTTTCTGGACAGGAAGGAAGAGAAAGCACTTCCAACACACCCTACACACACCTTTTCATTAGCCATATGTTAATGAGTCCAGCCCTCATGCTCAGATGGTAATCATAGAATTAACTGGAACATGTGAGGTCCTCTACTCCACCCTTCCAGTTCAGTGCAAAAGTCTCATTAGGTAGCATTTTACAAATAATCAGCTAACTGTTATTAGAATACTTTCCAGTCCCGGTAATCTCATTATTTCATAAGGTAAGCATGAACATTTTTTAGTTATTAAAAAAAAGCAACTTGAATGGGATTGGAGGCCATTATCCGAAGTGAAGTAAGGCGGTAGCAGAAAACCAGATACCACATGTTCTCACGTGTAAGCGGAAATTAAGCTAGTGATCCGTAGAGGCATACAGAGTGGTATAGTGGACAATGGACACTGGAGTCCTGGGGTGGGGGGGGTGAAACAGCTGCCTACCAGGTAGAATGTGTACTATGGGGGTGACAGGTACACTAATAGCCCAGACTTCATCACAATACAGTGTACCTGTGTAACCAAAACCACTTGTACCCCTAAAGCTATGGAGATATATATATATATATGCACACACACACATGCATATATATATGCATACATATATATACACATACAAATATGCATATGTACTCACAAATATCATGAGAGGGCACACACAAAAATGGAATTTAATTATTAAAGATTTTGTTATTCTTTTTTTTTTCTTTTGATTTATGTAGCGATGAGGACTCGCCAAGTTGCCCTGGTGGGTCTCGAACCCACAGGCTCAGGCAGTCCACTCGCCTTGGCCTCCCAAAGTGCTGGGATTACAGGCTGAGCCATCAACCCAGCCACTAAATCGTGTTATTCTTTCATGATTAAACTTCAGTCGCCTCTGTTTGATGCAACACAACTATCAAGATGTTTCTTCCACTGTTCAAAACGGTTTTTGAGCCCATCAATTGTGATGCCTTTTAGTGCCTCTACTGTTTTTTTGTTGCACCTCTTCCTCACGAGCAAAAGGTTTTCCTGTGAGGACTTTTTTCATCCGGAGAAACAACGACCAAAAGTTGCTCGGGTGGAGATTGAGTGAATAGGGCGGGTGGGCACGGGGGTCATGCCGTTTTTTGGGCAGAAACGGCTCAACCCTCAGTGCGATGTGAACTGGCGCCCTCGCAAATCAGCGTCATGAAATAGACAGAAACACTGAAAGAATCTCCAGACACAAAAATGTCTTAAAGCCGAAGGCAGCCTCTCGCCACACTATCTGGTCCATGGATGCCGATGGGCTCCTGGGACACTTACCTGGGAGGAAAACCTGTGCCACAAGGGGCCCACTCTCCAGGAAGGTAATTCCGGGCGTATGGGGTCCCCCTCATGCAGAGTCCACAAAGGAACACACCCGCTCGGTACTCCGGCTGACCCGGGTTCTTCGTCCAGTCATTCCCACGAGGAAGGCATGTGCCAGGCCCCTGTGCCACCCACCACCGCACCCTCGCCCTCCCTCTTGTCGACCAAACACCCCTGGGTTTTTTAACCGATTCTCATGACACGTTCAGATCTCTTACCTACACATCCGCTTATCGAAAGTAGCCCAGCCTGGCCCCCCTTCCTCCTGCCTTCCAGCCTCCTGGCCTTCCTCCTGGCCTTCCAGACATGGTCCCCCTTCCTCCTGGCCTTCCAGACCTGGTCCGGGAAGTGCGACCTGCTGGCCAGCCTCCCTCCCTTCTCCCACGCTGCGCCCTGGCTGATGGAGCCAAGGTCACAGCAGCTTTCCTGACGGCCGCCACCTGTTCCCTCACCTCGCGTTTGCCTTCCAGTAAAAAGCCCTGGTCTTCCTCTCTCTGTCCTGGGATTATGTCCCATCTCCCTTATCCTTTCTTTATCCGGCTACTAATTCCAGCCTAAAGTCCCAGTTGAACATCGAGCATGAAAAAGCGCGGGGCTCGCTTTTGCCTTCGAACCTGTTAATCGAGAAGATAAAAGAGCACAACGGAGCCATCCTCTGTTGTGAATCTGTTGTGACTGCCCCATCTCCCACGACGGCAGACAGAGCTCTCCCTTCAGTGTCTTGTTGTTCCAGGCTCAGCTTTGAGAGTCTTTTCTATTATCCTTGGCGTTTTACAAGTTTCATTTCTTTTCGGGCTTTCATCCTTCTGACTTTATTCTTTTGCCTTAAACGACACGGTAGCTCAGCATTATAGAATGATTTCAGATATATAAACTAGGAAGAATAAGGATTTCCATGCCGTATTTTCTGACTTGACCAAAGTGCCCCGTGCCATTAGTGTTTGTAGCCACTGAGTGAGTGAGTCAAAGACAGGTTTGCTCTGTGAGGCATCGACAGTGACAAGGGTGAATGTATTAATCAAATAAGGAAATTCTTCAAACTTTTAATTCCCTGGGAAGTAGGATTTGGTGCCAGAATAAATTTCACGTTCCTGAAAAAGCCATTTGAGCTTCCTCTGTGGCTGTGAAATATAATCCTGCTGTAGGTAGCACGTCTGAATCCT